CTTCTGTATTTGCAAATCTTCCAAAAGTTAGCGACTTTTATTTTCATGGTTGTCCACATCCAACAGATTTTGTTGTAGGTGTGAATAGCTGTTGAGCCCTAGATACCATTGCGTGTCTACACTGCATGATATGGATCTAAAATAATGGATATTTCTTTGATTTCACTAGGATGTACATCTGAATCGGAGACATCTTCAGTTAGGGTTTTACTTGACAAACTTATTTCTGATTCTGATTCAGATGTGCTATCGTCTCTGCTTTTCCCCCTTCCTAGTATGTATTCTACTTTCCCTTTTCAGGTTCTTATTGCCTTGGATTTCCGATTTTTTTTTTGTGTCTCTCTCAGGGGCATTCCCATAGCTTTTAATACTCGATCAAGTTATCAACAATCGTCCCTGCTCTGAAAAAACCCAAATGTCATACTTTATAGGTCTGTTCTCACAAAAATCACAAACCAGTCAGAGCGAATTCTATTGGTTGAAAATAATCAGCAAACGCTCTTACGTTTGTGATATTTGTGACAGACCTAAGCTTCATCTCGTTCTTCATCTTCTTCAAGTTTGAAACCTTCATAGTCTTGGGTTCCGTTATTGGCTCAGTTATTGAGAAATACGGAGTATCAAATTAATTTCAAATTGTCTGGCACTCAATGTTGCCTAAAACTTAGTCTTAAAGGCAAATACACAACTGAGCAGTATGCTGTATCGTTTAAAATGTATGATATTCAATTTCTGGGTTAGAATTAGATGATATTCCCAGCGATTACCAAATGATTCTCAGCGATTTCCAATGGATTCCTAGGATGTGATTCCCATGGAGTCCTAGGAGATTCCTAGCGATTCCCAGATTATTATTCCCAGGGACTCCCAAATGATTTCTATGTACTCCTGGTAATTAACTATGTGATTCCCAAAAAAATGTACAATGATTTCCACTAGTGGTTTACCCCTCGGAATATTCTTTAATTTTTCATTCTAAGCTCTTGGATTCTCTTTTTTTTTCTGTTTCAGGCTCTCGAATTTTATCATCTTTTTCATTTAAGTATTTCAGAGTCTAGAATTATTCATATTTCATTATTCCGGAATTCCTTGATTTTTTTTTTTAAATATTTTTGACTTGAATTTTCCCGAGGGGTTAATCCGAGGGTTGATCACTCCTCGTAATCGTGTCACAAATTCGTCCGAAATCCCCGAAATCTTTCCGAAATCCTACTGAAATCCACGAAATCACTCCGAATTCCGTCGAAATTCCTCCCAAAATCTCTCAGAAATCTTTCCGCAGACGCAAAAATTTCTGACAATTGGCCCAAAATTCATAAATCGGTCAACGCGGCCGTTTTTCAGATTATACTAATACACTTTCGAATATGTAGGTATACTTATAAGTATTATGTATACCTAACAGCCTAAAATCAAATTAAAATATTTGCGAAATCACCTGAAATTCTCCGAAATCACCCGAAATCCTTCAAAATCACCCGAAATCCTTCGAAATCACCCGAAATCCTTCGAAATCAGCCGAAATTAACCGAAATCCCCCAAAATCGCTCTAAATCTGAAATCTTGTCACAATGAATAATCCCCCAAAATCTTTCCGAAATCCTACCAAAATACTCTGAAATCACCCAAAATCCTTCAAAATTGCTTTAAATCCGAAGTCTTGTCACATTTTTCCCTTAGTGAAATCCCCCCTCGAATTTTCCTTATTTGAATTTTCTGTATGTTTTCGTTTCGAGGAAAATCGGAATTCGAGAGCCTTGCATAAAAGATGAAAATTGTAAGGAAAGGTAATATAAGGAAGAAAAAATCGACAATTTGTTTGTAGTTCTTGAATTCCCGTCAATCCTTTTTTAAGGCCCTTGAACTCTATTTTATTTTTGTTTTTAGCTCTCGAATTTTCTTAATTTTGCTATGCCACGCCCTTGAATTTGCTGTATGTTTTCGTTCAGAAGAAAACAAACATTCAAGAGCCTGAAATCGTAAACCAAAATAGCCAGAACCTTGAAAATGATAAGGACCATGCAGTGGAACTAAGGGCCGAATTTATAGTCGTCCCTTGAGCCTTGAGATCGGTAGTTTAGAATGGACACTTGCTCTTCTTTGACAAGTAAGTCATGTCAATTTTAAACATTCAAGGTTTCCTTAAGGTCTGAGGAGACCTCAAGGAGCGACTCTACGGGCCGAATTTATAGTCGGTCTGTGAGGTTTCCTCAGACCTTAGGGAAGCCTTGAACGTTTAGAACTGACATGACTGTAACTTGTCAAATTGTAGCAAGTGTCCATTCTAAAATCACAACCTTCAAGGAAGAATCAAGGAACGACTATAAATTCGGCCTTAAGGGCCGGTATTATAAAGCTGGTGAACCGAAGGTTGAGTTTCAACCAGCGGTCGAACTGACATTTCCGTATGATTTTATATGGACATTTCAGTGCAACCGCTGGTTGATACTCAACTTTCGGTTTACTCCAGAAGAAGAAATAATAAAAACTATCTTCTGAATATGTTTCTTCCGGGCAATTTCGTGATGGTCTGTAGGAATTTCTATCTACTACTACCGATTATACTTACTTCCAATGGCAGAACGAATTTTTTAGGGAGTCCACTCGGTCCGGTAATCGCAAACTTCTACTCGGAACAGTTTTAACAATTGGCACTAGAGACGGCCATAAAGAAACCTACTAACAGAACCAACATCTGTTACTATAGATGACACTTTTATTGTTTGGAACCATGGACAGGCAGAGCTAGAAAACTTCCTTGGTCCTCTGAACTCTATCGACCCCAGGATCCAGTTTACAATGGAAGTTGAGAGGGACAACAAAATTGCATTCCTAGACGACCTCCTGGAAAGATTGTCCTGGGGAAAAGTGAGACAGAGTATATAGAAAGCCGACTCATACGGACAGGTACCTCAATAAGTAATCCAGTCACCATCCCAGACAGAAGAAAGGAATTATCAAAACTCTTTCTGACAATCCGGATTTGTGAGCCTAGATATCTCCAGCAGGAAATAGATAGAGCAATGCGGCCAAAACAACAACGTAAACACAAGGAACCAGTACAGGTAGCAGGAAGAACTGTTCTTCCCTACATCAAAAATGTCACTGATCGCATACGATCAATGCTAGAAAAACACAGTATTAAACCGAACTACAAACCTACAAAAAATAAACAACAAAGTCTTAGATCGGCCAACCATCCTAGGGAACCCCTTCAAACGGCCGGTGTCTACAGAATTCCCAGCTTTTGTGGATCAGTTTTATATAGGAACAACCAAACGCAGTATTAACACCAGAATCAAAAAGCATTAGAGAAACTGGCAACAGGAACAAACAGAAAAATCAGGAATCGCCTAACACGCATTAAGATTAACACAGAAAGATCATGTCATTCATTTGAATCTACAGAACCTAAAAAACCACATGTACCAGGATATAGCATATGATGGTATAACTGGAAAAGACCTAGTAAGCTATAGTAATAGGATTTTGGAAACAGGAATCTACCCAGACAAGTTGAAAACTGGAATTATAGTGCCAATATATGAAAAAGGAACTCATACCTACTGAAGTTTTACAGACTAATTACATCACTGAGCACTTTCTCCATGGTTCTAAAAAAAATAATTGAAAGCCCATTAAGTAACTAAGTCCATAGAAGCGAATTCAAATATGACACAATGCAGTATGGATTCCAAAAAAAAGTACGGTTGACTTACTGAAATACATCACTGATCAACTAAATAAAAAGAAATATGTTGCTACCGTGTTTATTGATCTTAAGACACTGTCGACATAGATCTTATGTTGAATAAGTTGGATGGAATTGGGTTTTTGAGGTTTGTGCCAGAACCATCTAAAATCCTATTCAACTAATAGACGAAATGCTGCGTCAGTGAATAGAGTGAAGAGGAATATACAAAGGTTGGAGTAGTTTCGGGTTCAGTGCTGGGGTCTCTGCAATACCTTCTATATGCACACAGTCTTAGACTTGCTGGTATTACTTACTATATGTTCGCAGATAATACAGGATACAGTATTAGTTTTTGCTGAAGATAAGAGATAAGTTAGGAAAAATCTTAATCTGGAGAAATATAACAACTGGCTGAACCATAACAACTATAAATATAGAAAAGACTGTCTAAAAATTAAACCTAAAATTAGACCAAGAATTTCTTTAATAAATGGAAGTGACTCGGTATAAATATCTAGGGCTTATTATTTCAAACAATTTAACATGGAATAGACACATAAAACATGCGTAGTACCCGGGGTACTACCTACTTTATAACTGTATGATAGAATTCCACCTTAAATACCTAAATACCCTGTTGGGGAAATGCTAGTGAACACAAGATAACAACACTACAAAGGGCCCAGAGCAAAGCTACTAAAGCAATATTTTCTATAGACTACAAAACATCTACCGAGGGTTCATAAAAACAAGTTTAAACAAATAAAGCAACACAAACAATCGAAATTAATTTAATATATAAAAAATAATCCCATTAAACAAAAGCAAAAATGTTCACTCCTACTGCATAAGAAACAGAAAGGCAAACAGAAATAAGTATATTGCCACCAAGAAGGATTCTCCAACGTACAGAAGCATTCAAACATTCCATCGCCTTCCAACTAATATCCAAAACGAGAGGCTGCCCAAATTAACCCGTGCCCTAAAAGACTATTACAAAACCCAAAGATTAACCTGTTCTAAAAGATATTATATAGAAAAGAAATTAATCCATTATTGATCTGTTGAATGTTTGCAAAATTGTTATTAGACCTCGCTGCTAACTATAACTACCCAAATCAAACTGGACAAAAGAGAAGAAATTACCTTGAAATAACACGGAAACATGAAAAATCCATGCACACATTGAAGTTAAAACCTTTTTTTTTGCAATAAAATCTTTAATTTTCAATATATTCCATAGATATATTGCATCCTAAAGTTTGTGTATATGTGTTTATGTAAAACCATTTTTTTTCTGCCACAGAATGAAGAGGATGACGCCCTTGATGAAGAATGGATGACTGAAATGGGAATTGACGCAAGCGACATAAAACATATCAACTACACTCAAGTATGTCCACAAATATAATAAATTCCAATAAACACTCTCATGATTATTTTTAGGCTCGAATAAAACACAAAACCGATTGCTTAGTAGACAGAAGTGACCAAAGCTTAGTTCTAATAGAAGGCTGTGAAGTTAATGCATTTTTCAATTGCCTATTAAACTGCAAAAGTGCCATAGCACCTACTGGTCCTCTTGCAGGAGTACCACCCACCCTACTAGCACCGGTTTGTTTTAAGTTTGGTACTCTAACTGCCTTAAAAGTACGCCAACATAAAATCCAGTCTGAAGGTGTCGATTATTATTCCTTGGACCTACTAGGTCCAATTCTACCGAGCACCCTTCATAATATTTTAAATATAAATAGTCCCAGTGATAGTATAACTATATCGTTTAGTGATGTTGAAAGTACAAGGGCTTACAGTAAGGTGGTTAAGAAAACCCAAAAAAAATTGGAGGAACTAGAGCAAAAAGGAGGCACGATTTTTGGTGAAGAAAATTTGTCTGATTGCGGCTTGAACGCGAAAATTTTAAAGAACTTTTGTTCGGCTGATAGTGAAAAAGTTTGCAATTTTGAGTTGTTGAAGTACTGTGGCGAGACTAGGAGTTATACATGGACTTAGGATTTTATTATTTTTTTAATTTATTTATTTTGTTATTATTTAATTTATTTGTTTAGATGTTAGTTTAGGTAATTATTTTCTTTGTATTTTGATTTGAGTAACCTAGTTTAGCCTTTTTTTTTTTAAAAAAAATTCTTAGTCTGTAAGAGAATTTATGTGTTTTTCAATAATTGCCAAGACATAGTGGTTTTAATGTAATTTCTACCATGAAATTGAAAATTTGTTTTATTCAATTAGCGCACCCTATATATAAAATGATTCACAAACCTTTATCGATAACCAGTATCAATTATTGAAAGCTGTTAATGAATGCCTAACAACGCCTCCACTTCGAGCCAGAATACGGCCTCTCTCCTATATGGCGATGATCAAATGTAATTAAAAAGAAAAGTTGAGAACAGTGTGCGGGAAATTCGCCATTTCTGGTCGGCCCAGAAGCGACGACGGAGAGAGAGAAAATAACGGTTTTCGACCTCCGCCCCCGAAGCGACCATTCATCTCCCCCCTCTACTCCGTGCTACACTTTTAATTAACAGAGCTAAATCGTTTAATGCGTCCCCAGACATTACTTTAATCTGGTGCTAATTAGAGCATCCCCTCCTGCGAGAGTGCTCTACCCTTGATACGCTGCCCCCTCTGCTCGTCCTCCTATTCTCTCTGCCGTTAACTGCAGTCATTATATCCCGGCGATAGCTGCAAATTACCTGCCTTAATTTGTAAAGTCTTTGAGGACTACACGACGAATGGAATTAATTTTCATGACAAATGCGAATATTATAAAAGTGTAAATTAATGCAGATTAAAACAAATGACTAATAATTATGAACGTGTTTAATACTAATTGGACTTCAACAAACTGTTCATAATTCATTTGATATGAGGTCGGAGATATATTATCATCGTTATTACAAATAACCCTAATAGCACAGAAACGTCATATAGACATCGCACACAAAGTTTTAAAGACGTCTTTTTCAAGTCTGCATTACGCCTGAAGACCAAAAAAAGACGTGTAGAAGACGGTTGTCTTGAAGATGGCCATAAGACGTTGTAAATTCACAATCTTTAAAGACAAATTTTTGGTACCACCAGGCCTACAAGTGAATAATGGTTTATGTATTGAAAAGATATTCAAAGACGTCTTTAAGGGCTCTTTATATATTCGTTACTTATACTGGAAATGGTGTGCATGATGTTCAGGAAGTACAGGGCTAAGCTGGAGGGTGGAAAAACATTATAATATTCGTCAGTCTTTTCTTCTCGGTTCACCCATACATTTACAACAAAAAATCCAGCAGAATGTCATCATTCCAACTCAACAAATACCTACTATACTGAGTCGACCACAGAATCTGCAGCTAAGTATCGAAAGTACAAATTCCAATTTTCCATGGAGGGTATATGAATACTGTTCTACATTCTTCGATATTTTCACAAGAGTCATCCATGAAAACTCAGCGTTGACCAAAGCCGACAAGATGCACTACCTAAACACAAATACCAAAGGAGCAGCAAGCAAGCAAACTAATCCAACACAACACAACAACAATAATTGCAGCCAACTACGATTCAGCATAGGATCTACTTCAAAAGCGGTATGAAAACAATAATTCTAATATTTAAGCTCCTAGACAAGCTACTAAGACCTATCAGAAGTTTCAAGGGAGAACGCCGAGAAACTCAAGAAGCTGCATGACGTCACCAGCGAATGTCGAATGACAATCAGAGTGTGGGACTCGGAAACCAGCCGCTTATATGAACAGAATGTTGAGAAGCCTTCCGATGTTCCAGAGTTGACAGAACTCTGCTCTGTCTCGTTTCCGGCCCAATAACATCCGGATCCCCCGCTATTCAAGTTGTCAGCATGATCACTCTATGAAGAAGACAGACAGCTTACCAAGTCCTGGGAAATCGAAGAAATAACCCAACCGCATCAGCTAACAGAAGAACAGCAAGCATGCGAACAACTCGAGACTCCGAAAGTGGATTTGTTGTTAGAATTCCATTCAAACAATCCGCAGATATATTAGGAGACTTCTGCGGCCATCAAGATCCCAGTTTACAAGAACAGCATTCAGCATTCATGAAAAAATACCTAGAGTTGGGTCACATGAGGAAAGTCACTCGACATGAAGTGAACCAAGGCAAATATACATCTCCCATCAAGCAGTCATCAGAGAAGCTAGCACAACAACACTACTGGGAGTCGTTTTCAGCGCATCGTGCAAAAGCTCTATCAGCATCAGCTTTAATGACATCATGCACGTCGGCCCTAGACTGCAACAAAACATCACCCACATACTTCGTTGGAAAAAGCAAAAGATTGTGTTCTGCGCAGACATAGAAAAAATGTACAGGCAGCTTCGAATCCATCCAGACGATCAACAATTCCAGAAAAGACTATGGGGGAAAAGTCCACATTTACCAATGTATGAATACGAACTCACCACTGTCACACCTACGGTACAGCGTCAGTGCCTGTGCGGGATTCATCCAAGACTTGTTGGTGTATCACTGTCACGTTATATTGAAGACGTCGAGTGTTTTCAGTTCTGATCGTTGTGGTATTGCATGAAGAAATCTAGAGCTTCGATTATTCTGTCTTCAATAATCTCAAGAGGAAGCTATACAGAAAAAATATACCGGGTGCCCACGAGATTACTTTCCGGCTGCCATTTTTTTATTTGTTTATTGATATCAATGAAACTTGGTGGGCTTAATATTCTAACGAAATGCCATTTTTGTGCATTCATGACAAGTTTTCCTGACTTCCGGTTTCACCGGAAATGACCGAAACTTTTGATTTTCAAATGGCACACCCTGTATATTTTTTGTTTTTTGGATTCTACAGATCGTTTTACGTCCTAATGTATCACTATTAAATCGAACTTTGTCCAAATTTCGTTTTTAAATTAAATTTTAAGTAGAAAAAAAATAATAACCTCATAATAAAATAAAAATATTTGAACGAAAATTAAGAAAAATGTCGTGTATTATATCGTTGGATTCGCTTCAAAATACTGCATTTAGTAATGTTATGAAAGTGATATGTTCCTATTCTAGTTTTTGAGCTAGGGCAAAAATACTAAAATAATAAAGTTTACAGCCCTCTATCAAAAAAGTTAACAAAGATAAAATTCAGTTTGTATTTTTCTGAAATTAAGTAAAGTATGTAGAGTCATTTTAGGATGATCATGGCACTCTAGTTAAAAAATTAAAATTTAATTTAAAAAACAAAATTTGGACAAAACTTGATTCAAGAGTGGTGCATTAGGACGTAAAACGATCTGTAGATTCCGAAAAACAAAAAATTTACAGGGTGTGCCATTTAAAAATTAAAAGTTCCGGTCATTTCCGGTGAAACCGGAAGTCAACAAAACTTGTCAATAATGCATAAAAATGGCGTTTGGTTAGAATATCAACCCTACCAAGTTTCGTTTATATCGATAGACAAATAAAAAAATGGCAGCCGAAAAGTGATCTCGTGGGCACCGCCCGGTATATTACGTACAAATCTATTCAATTTGATAATTCTTACCACACAATGTTGTAGACGTGCTCTATCTTCTTCAGTAAGCTCTTCTTTGTTCTTCCTCAATAATTCCTCATCAGTTATCTCATAAAGAGCCATCGCATGAGGTAGCAAAGGATTCAATACAATTCTGGCTCCAGGGTTAGAAGATATTCTTTGTAAATCAGTCAAGATCTTTTTGGTGTCTTTTAAAATTGCACCATATCGAGACATCAAGACACAACAGAAGCTTGCAATCGAACAAATTTCCAAAGGCAAGCCAGGCAGCATTGACAGACTTATACGTCGACGACATATCTGGAGCACATAATACAGAATTAGCCCTAGAACTACAACAACGACTACTAAAAATGCTTAGCCTTGCTGGATTCAATTTGAAAAAATGGTCCAGCAACTCACCGTCGTTACTTCAATCAATTCCTGAACAATTTCGAGAACAGAAGATACAAGAACCCACAAGAAGACTTCAAGGGGGGCGTAATATGGTCACCAGCAGCTCGATATCTTCAAATTCCAAGTCAAAGTCTCCGAGATACGCGAATTAACCAAATGACAAATCCTTTTAGATATATCCAAATTATTCGACCCCTTAGGATGGTTGTCTCCAATCGTTATACAAGCCAAACTTATGATTCAAGACTTATGGCTAAGAAACCTGAGCTGAACCTAAAAAAATATCTTTATAGGCCAGTTAGTCTGGTTGCTTAAGGGATTTTTTCAAGAGAAAACGCCATTTGATGATACAAGCATGAAATTTGGCACAGTTGCTAAATAGGCCATTTTAATCGATTTGAGTCGAGGACCCATCGACTTTTCTCACTGGGACTAAAAAAATCGCCATTTTTCCAAAAATAGCGGCCAATTTTTTAATTTCAATTTTGATTCGGTTTAGACAAGCATGATTATACTGTAGTCTATATATTCCGGGGACGCAGAATAATAAAAAAAATGTTTTAGATCACTGTGACTTTCGATGACCTTGAAAACCGTAATTTTTATAAAATGGCGCCCATTATTAGTATTTTAGTAGGTACTAATTTCCCTTTTCCAAATGTACTGGGATAATATTATAAACGATTGTAAATACAGACAATAAAATAATACTCTTGAGGTTGAGCTGACCTAGATGACCTTGAAGACCCCCAATTTTTTTGAAATGGCGTACAAAATTTCACTTTCAGATAATAATATATTGGTGTGACTAAACTTGATTACCTCCTATATTACATAAGAAAACCAACTCTCAGGTTGAAATGACCTTCAAAACCTTGATGCATACTACTCAGTAATGTGAAAGGTTTTCAAAAATTGCCAACCGTGCCTACTTTGCGAAGCACGGAATAAGAAATATCTCCAAAACATCACTCAAATATTTACGCTGTCCCGCGCCACAGAATCTATATATATATATAAAAATCAAAGTTCGCGGGGTATCCGGATATGCGCTCCAAAACCACTTATCCGATTACGATGAAACTTTGGTAGGTTGTTATGGCCATCCCAAGGAAGGTTTGTGGATAGGTTACGCATCTCGGAAAAAGAAATTAATTTTGAATTAATTATTAATTCAATTGTAAACAAACTCATTCATATTACATAACAACCTAACCCAACTTTCTTTGACAGCATGAAACAACGTTGCCATATTTCATTTATTTAGGCTTGCATTCAACCGACGTAACTTTATTATTTTTTGAATTCAAGAACGGCTGGACCGATCTTGAAATAATACCACGTATCTCTATATAAGGTGAATTCG